GTTTCGTCTGCACAGATGGTTCCCCGTCTAGCCTCGCCAGGCACATCTTTTTTTATAATATATATATATATATGTATATATATATATATATGTCAACATTTCGCTCGCTCACTCCTTCCTTCTGAAATATTATTTCTCCCTGCCCCCGCTCGGAGGACGAAGGAGGGAGGGGGGAGGGAGAGAGGCTGGAGGCAACGAGCACGACGGAGGCGTCCAATATGAGATGTTTTGTGTGTGGCCGTAGCGTAAAGGCAAGATAATCACGCAAAGCAGCACGCGGCGCAGCAACAAAATTGCTAACGCGAAGGTCGCGACTCGGGGGCATCCAAAGACGGACGCGCCTTGTTCATTCGCGGGGGGATCGTGCAGAATTGCCAACGCATTCCACCATGTTTCAACCTGGTGATGAAGGCAGAAAGAAGTTTGCAAGCATGTAGCTCGACGTGCACACTCATTAAGCACAGCTAAGCGATGTGCAAGGCAAGGCTTTCCCACAGTATGCATTATAAATTGAAAGCGCCAGCGAATGCGCGAAAGACGCAGGACGCGCTGAAAACAATCATGTTCACAATATTCAATCACTGCGACAGCGTTTGGTCGAAGAGCCGGAAATGAACTTGCACTCGTTGCAAACGTGCGTCGCGGTCCCTTTTTACAAGCGCGCGCAGAATGCGATGATGGCGACCAGAACCAACCAATCATTTGTTGGCTTTTCCTTCCGCCGCATGCAACAAAGCTCAGAAGGGAATGCGAGCCATGAAAGAACTTTTAATTCAGGCGGTTCAGGAGTCAGACGTGGATGTATTCCCATGGCTGCCAACACTTTATTGCGCACGTACACTTACATATTCACGTTTCTAACGGCAGGCATCCCGTGCCCAAAAGCAATGACAAAACTAGGGCGTTTCTTCCTTTGGACGGCATCCGTGGGGATCTTCCAAGGGTGTGTCCGCCGTGGCTGGAATCCCTTAGTCAAGTAACATCGAGGATGCGAGTGTTCATCCGTTGCGGTTCTGATGACAGTAGTGCACGTAATTTCCCCTTGGGGCGACAGTCTGTTCTTTCAAAATGAAGAGCCTTCAGGCGCGCCTCCGCCGTGGTTCAATATCATTATACAAGCGGCATTGATGGCGATGTGTTTCATCCGATACGTGTCTAATGATAGGCTTCCCGCACCCAAAATCAGCGAACATGCTTATACTTCCCCCCTTTGTCGACACGAATCAAAGAAGAAACCTTCAAGGAGTGCGTCCGCCGTGGCTCAGGCTCCCTGAGAAAATGAAGCTGGGGGCCATGTCCATCTTCCGATACACTTCTGCACGCATCGCGCGCCCAAAGTAAATGGAACACGCATAGAATTCTTCCATTTTTGACAACATTAATACGGTAGCTTCGCGTCGTTCTAGGTTGAACGCCGCCAGTGACCCAGAATCGGCCTACATGGAACGATCGGGTGATCGGAAAGCCGCCGATTGTTCAAGGTTGATTACTCGACGCGGTGTCAGAAAGCAACGCCAGGGTCGTCACGGCACGAACTTGCCGTACACGAAAGAGAAGCCTTCCAGGGGTGCGCCGACCGCCGCCAATCGAGGGCGATGGTGTTCCATGCGTTGAGGCGTTCAGCGCTAACGCCGTTATTTTGGCGGCTGTATAGCGGCTTAATAGCGGCGGCTCAAAAAAGGTGGATTTTCTGGCGGTTTTATGGCATCATCCCTTAGGGGCGGGCTTGAAAAATGGGTTATGGTTGGTGGCGGCCCTACAAAAGTGTTTTTTGTGCCGGCCTTCTACAAACCATGCTTTCAGTGGCGGCCTTACACAATGATTCCTTCTGTGGCGGCTTGACAATGTCGGAGACTCCTCGGGCACCAAAAAAGGGGGAACCACAAGAAACACAAGGAGCACACAGTGAACAAGTGATACACAACAAATACTGCGAAACAGCAGCAAGAAAAACAACGGGCACCAGCGAACACCGATGAATTGCCGGTGAAAAAGCACATGCGCCAAATGAACACCTATGAAAGCACAGTTCAATTCAATGCAAATCAATTGCCATTTATGAAGACATAGAAACCAATAACATTCAGAGAGAACCAGCACAAACGCACTGCTTATTATGTTGCCCTTGTTTTATCAGTGGGTTGTTATCGGTTTTCGTGTTGTTCATTGTTGTCTTTGTTTTCCGCGGTTGGTTGTTGGCGGCTTTACATAAGGATTGGATGTGTGGCGGCCCCGTATAGACAATGTTCTTTTGTGGTGGCCTAACACAAACAATGAGTCTTTTCTGCGTCGGTCTAACAATGTGTGGAAACTTTTTTGGAAATAAGGGAAACAAGTCAAGAGCAAAAGGAAACAAACACACAACGAACAACAGGAAAATACATATACGGATCGCGAAAACAAATCAAACAACAACAAGTGCAAGCAAATGAAGCCGATGAAAATTCAATGAAACACTATAGACACTAATGAGCACCTATGGAAGCACAACCTGAAGCATGAAAGTCAATTGCAGCCTACGCAAACACATCAAAAAGCAATGCAATTCAAAGAAAACAGATGAAACAAAACCACATTGTTTGTGTTTCTTTGTTGTTCGTTATGCGTTTCTTATTTTGACTGTGTTTGTCATTCTTTTCCTTGGCGTCCGCCGCTGATTTCCGAAAGTTGATTGACGGCCTTGCAGAAGTATTATTTTTGTGGCGGCTTCACAGGAGGGTTCCTTTTGCGACGGCCTTACGAAAGGATCATTTTTTTTGTGCAGCTCTTCAAAAGGACTCCTTTTCTGGCGGCCCTACAAAAGAAATTCCTTGTGTGGCGGCCGCACCAACGCATTCGTGCTGTGGCGGCCTTACAAAGAGGATTCCTTTTGCGGCCCTGCAAACAGATTCCTGTTCGTGGCGGCCTCACACACCGTTTCCCTTTATGGCGGCCTTATACTCATATTCCTTACACATGGATTCCGTTTGTGACGGTCTTGCGGAAGGATTATTTTTGTGGCGGCATTGCAAGAAGGATTGTTTTATGTGGGTTTCCTGTTTGGAGATTATTTAGTGGCGGCCTCAAGATTGCTTGTTGGCGAGCCTTACACAAAGGCTCTTTAACTTTCCCATTCCCCACTTCTCGGTCGGCGTCCAAATATGGATGTTAAAAGAAAATGCCGAACACCGGTTCGAGGAACACGATGTCTGAAGATAAGTTCGGAGCAGGGAGGATTTCAGGTAGATCTCAGTGGGGGGGTACCGTTTATACATATAGCTATGTTTTTTTTTGTACAAATATACATATCGTATACACATAGTCACACATACGTATGTGTGTATGTACGTATGCATGTATGTGTATCTATATGTCTACATGTATATATATATATATCCATACATGTGTGTGTGTTGGCTCTCTGGTCGTCGCCGCATTGATCTAGGGTTGCGAGTGAGGCCCCCTTGTGAGTCTCTGGAGACCCTTTTGAAGCCTTCGTGCAGGCCTCTTCGTTGCCTTCGTGGGACTCTCGTGGGCCTCTCCGGGCCACCTCCAGGGTCTCTCAGGGCTGCTTAGGAACAGTTTGGGGGCCCTGGTGGGCTGTCTTGGGGCCTCTTGGGTTGTGTGGAGCCCATCTGGCAGCCCTCTTGAGGCCCCCCCTTTGGGCCGTCTTGGGCACCTCTCGGGGCCTTCCTGGGCGCAGTTGGGACAGTTTGTGTGCGCTGTTGGGGCCCCTTGGACTGTCTTGGATGCTCGGGAGGTCGAACCTGCGAGACCGATGATATTTCCTTTTGCGACCGCGCAAATCACAGAGTAATGATGTTTCCCTCTCGCGTGCCTGTTGGGGGTCATTTTGGAGCTCTCACTGAACGGTCTTGGGAGCTGGTTGGCCCGTCACGCGGCCGCATTGAGTCCATCTTGGGCTGTCTTCGGCCCATCTTGGCCGTCTTGGGGATCTCTTCGGGGTCTCTCGGGGCCTTCGTGGGTGCTCTGGGGCACTCGTGGGGCCATTCGGGGCCGTCGTTGGCCCTCCCGGGGTGCTCGCGACCCAGCGTCCCTGGCCGATGCCCATGTTTTGGCGGATGAGTTTTCTATGTGTAGTGGAGTTGTTTGTATGTGTACAGGTACAGAGAGCAAGAGAGAGAGAGAGAGAAAGAGGGAGAGACAGAGAGGAACATAACAAACAAGAGAGAGAGGGAGAGAGAGGGAGAGAGATACCGAATGAGGTTGAGCGAACGCAAGAGCGAGAGAGATAGAGAGAGAGAGAGAGACACCTAGAGAGAGGGAGAGAGAGAGCGAGAGGGAGAGAGACTGACAGACAGCCAGAGACAGAGCGAGGGAGAGAGAGAGATAGAGACAGAGAAGCACAGATAAAGAGAGCGAGAGAGAGGGATACGCATATGTTCATGCGTGTCTATATATATATATATATATATATATATATATATACAATATCAAAATAAGCCGGGCGAGCGGATAACAGCGGAGGGAGGATAATGTAACCGTTAGATGCAGTAGACGGCGAACGGCAAAAGGTGGGGTAATTGAGCGACGCAGTAGAAGGCGAACGGCAAAAGGTGAGAGAGAAAGAGAGAGAACGAGAGAGAAAGAGAACACAACATACAATGAAGAAAACACATCAGCGAGAGATACATAAACACATCGAGCTAAATGAATGCATACAATTGAATATATAGGCAGAGAGCGAGAGAGAGAGAGAGGGAGTGAGGCAAAGAGAGAGGGAGATGGGTGGAGAGAGAGAGAGAGGGAGAGGGAGAGAGAGGGAGAGGGAGAGGGAGGGCCATCGGGGGATGGAAGGGTGGAGGCCAGGAGGAAGGCGAAGGGATGCTCTTCTTCCTCATCGTACTGTCATTTAGGGTCAGGCCCACTTCTGCTTCGCAAGGGGCCTTTGGTCTCTACATGGGCTTTCTCCGGGCGCCCTTCGCCCGCCTCCGGGCGCTCTCCGCGCCCTTCGCGCGCGCTCCTCTGCCGATTCGCACCCGCGCCCGCGCGGACTGCAGGAGCTCCTCGGGAGGTCCCTCGAGGACTCGATGGAGGCCCGCCCGTCCGGCCCTCCTCCTCCTCCTCCTCCTCCTCCTCCTCCTCCTCCTCCTCCTCCTCCTCCTCCTCTTGAAGCCCGTCTTCTGCCCGCCGGGAGCGCCCGCGCAGCGCGCGCAGCCCCAGGCGGCGCAGGGCCGTCCTCCGCTGACACGAGATCGGACACCAGAGGTCACAAGATGCAGTTGGGGCACATCCCCACGCCTCCCCCTGTTGCAGGTGATCGGTCGCCCTCCCGATTTGTTGTTGTTCACACTCCAGGGTTGCTCCACCTCTTCCAGCCCCTCATCGTCCTTGACAGAAGGTAGGCAGGCCAGCAGTAATTGACCTTGCCATGGCTGCACTCGCAGTGGGATCACCAGTTGCAATTATTTCACGCGTTGGCTTGGAACCAGTGCCGTTGTGTTGCCCACCTTCGAATGTATGTGGACACTTTGCCGCCATAGTTCCCGGACAGAACGTCAGCGCTCGTTTGTCGAATGTCTTGCGCACTCGCAGCTTTCTGTGTTGAGTGGCAGTGATGTATGCGTTCGTCGTCGAAGTTTTTGTCGCGCGGCGGGTGGATTACTGTTCATTGATTTGCCGTCGCACCTCCATGCCGAGGCGTGCAAGGGCCAGATGAAGCCGAGCTCGGTCGTCTTAGTGGCGGCGCAGGCAGCATGGCTCCCGGAGCTGACGCGGCAGCCTCCTTGCATCTACCTGCATGTTTTGGCCGCGAGGGTTCAGGCACCATCAAATCACCGCCCAAGCAATGTAGTGGTAGTGAAGGAATTGGCATGGTATGAACAATGTTTGGGAACACGGGAGCCGGCAAACTAATTATTCATTCAAGCTAATTTATATACATATTATATCATTTCATTAATTACGTCACCCTGTAGATGTTTTCAGCTACTTGTACATGAAGCTGAACCATAACTAATAATCTCTTCCAGCTAGTGAAACAATACATAACGGCATCTATCAAACGAAGAAGCTATTGCATTCGACAGTACTAGATGTACAACATGGGGAATATATTTTCCCTGCCACGACATCAGCGCTTCGATGGCAACATCACAGTCTCAGTGCTATCGCTGTGGTAACGGATCGTCCTGGCCTTGTGATAATGAATGCCGTATTGCGCCAACATGTAGATTCACATCATATGCAATCAGTGGCCAAGCGAGCGCGTGCTACCAACGATGGGGACTCATTGGAGGAACACCGAGCCCACCTTTCCGAATTTTGCCGCCACCTCAGAGGGCCAACCTGAGGGCTCGTGGGTTAGTTGTTAGTTGGAGGTCACAAAGAGGGGAAACGTTGGGCAAGGTGTGACGCTTCGCCAATCCCCGCCAACCCACCCAGAAGTGGCACGGACTCGAGTCGCTTGGGTTTCGTCCTGTCGGGGCCTGTTCTGCTGAGGCTCGATGGGTTCGCCAGGGCTCGACTCGCCCGAGGCTCGATGCGCCAGAGTCTCGATTCGCCAGAGTCTCGATTCGCTGGAGGCTTGATCCGTCGGGTCCCGATTCGCCGAGGCTCGAATCGTCCGGCGCTCGCTTCGTCGGCGGCTCGATTCGTCGGGGCGCGATTCGCCTGGGGCTGGATCTGCTGGGCGGGCAGGTCGACGCGGGCGGAGCCCCAGGGGGCGTGCCAGGGCTGGTGTGCCAACAGCACGCGAGGCCCCCTTGCTCGCGTGGAGTGCCTGGGGAACAGGCGCGGTGCCGCTTCTGTGCGGCCTTCGTGCCCCCCCCCACTAATCTTATGTCGGGCCTGTCCCCCATACAGGGGGATTTCGACGAAAAATAGAAAATACCCCCAACATAGTCAAAAAAACCAAAAAACAGTATGGGGACTATTTTTGAGTATTTTTTTACCTTTTGGGGGCATTCTTGGGGTATTTTTCATTTTTCGTCGAAAATCCCCATGTAGGGGGACAGGCCCGACTTTACACTAGTCTTCCCCCCCAGCCCTTCCTCCGGGAAGCCTTGGGAGATCTGGGGCGCCCAACCATTCCGTAGGCGGTCTAGAGTGTCCTTCGCCATGGTCTTCGTTTCATTGCGGAGGTGTGTTGTACGCGCGCTCTTCCGACAAGCACGCGTGGAGTCGAGCGAGCCAGGCCATGTACCTGCCTTGGCCAAGGGTGACGAGTACCACCGCGAACGGAGGAATCATGACGTTGCCGTGCAAGCGGCGTGGACGGGGCGGGGCGAGGTGCTGGAAGATAGCTCCGCTAGTCACCGCTGGTCCCTGTCCCTCCTCCTCCGCCCCCTCCTGCGCCTCCGCACCATACACACGGGTCGGATGTTGGGCAGCGGCTCCTGAGAGGCCAGCCTTCGCGGGCCCGCGCTCCAGCGCGAAGCAGAGGGGACACGGTGACACGCCGCAGTCCCGTCGACAGCCCCGCATGCAAGGACAATGCCTCCAACGCACGTGCCCCGCAGTCCCAGGCCGGTCACCGCAGAGCACCCACAGGGGGCTATCGACCAGCCCCGCTTGGCACTCACGCTCTCGGCTCCAGTGCGGGCAAACCTTGTGTCCATATCCACTGCAGCTTTGGGTTTCGGGCTCCATTCCCCAGAAAGCCGAGGAGCTCTGGACATGGATAAAAATCAGGCCCCTACTAGAGGCTCGAATTTTATCCATATCCAGTGCGCCTCGGCCTTGCGGCGCCCCTTCCACGAAAGTCCAAGACGCCCTGGATATGGATATAAAGATTGCCCGCATCCAGGTCCCGTTGACTTCCGGGCACCGCGCCGTCGCCTGGTGCAGACCATGTGGTGTCCAGGAGCGGCGCGGAGGCAGGAGGAGGTGGAAATTCTTGAGGTAAGAGCCTCAGTGTTTGGCCCTCTCTCGTGCTCCCTTGGAGGCCCCTTGGGAGTGTGCCTGGGGGCACCTTGGGTCCTCCCTGAGAGTCCTAAGCAGCAGCAGGATTACATAATCATATACGCACGTGAGGCGCAAGCGGAAAGGTTTTACGAGGAGGGGGAAGAGCATACGGCGGAGGAGGAGGAGGAGGAGAACCGCCAGTAGGGGTAATGAGTGTGAGGGGGCGGTGAGAGCATGAACCTCGACAGCAGACCGCAATAGTGGTCCCGCAAAGCGAAAGTCACGGCGGGCCCCCAGGGGGGAACCAGCTCCCACGTCTCCCAATCAGTGGGGTGTTGAGGAGAGGCCTGGACACAGGGTATGATCGAAGGTTTGAGCTTGTCACCTAGCCATCGTGGGACCGTGTGGGAACTTTTGGGGGGCCTTGAGAGCCTCATTGGCGTCCCTTCGGATGGCTTTTTGCGATGTTGCAGGGTCTGGAGGCCGCGTGGAGGACGATCGTGCAGTCGTGAGCCGGTCTTGAGAAGAGTTCGAGTCGTGCAAGGGCCGTCGTTGAACACCAGACAGGAGCCGTCGGGGCTATCTTTGGATTGTCCTGGGGGTATTTTTGACCGTCTGGGGTATCTTGGACGGCCCTTGGATTCTTTCGGGGGCCTCAGCAGACCATATCTCGGGCATCTCTTGATCGTTAGTTCTGGGTCCCGCCCTGCTTCTCCCGGCGGGGCGCAAACTCGCCCTTCCTCCTCCTTCTGGTCCTTCTCATCCTCATTCTTCACTTCCCCCCCTGCTCCTCCTGCTGCTCCTCCTTGTGGTCTTCGTCGTCGCGGCGGTTATGATGTTCCCTCTATTGTTGGGTGGGTTGGTTAATGTTGGGGGGCTCGTCCCCCCAGGAATAGTCCATTGGGTACTAAACAACACGCGATAGGGTTTGTGAGCACCTTCTCATGAGGATTGCACTCGGAATCAGTGGTTGCGATTGTAGTCGTGATTGCAATCGTGATTATAATCGGGATTTGATTCGCGATCGTAGTCGCAATCGTATTCGTAATCGTCATCGTCGTCGTCACGGCAGAGGTGCTGTTCCCTCAAGTATTGGGCGGGCTGGTTAATTTGAGGGAGTTTCTGTGGAACTCACGTCATCCTCACCCCCGGCGCGAAGAGCACGAGTCCAGAGCGGCCTCCGGCACCGTTTCCGGAGATCCGGTGGATCCGCTGGATCCGCTGGATCCGGTGACGAATCCCAAACCGGCGCCCTCGCTTGAGACATCCTCACAAAACCGGCCCCGGGGGAGGTGCCCAGAGGAGCCCAGAGCGGCCTCCGGCACCGTTTCCGGACGGATCCGCTGGATCCGCTGGATCCGGTGACGAATCCCAAACCGGCGCCCTCGCTTGAGACATCCTCACAAAACCGGCCCCGGGGGAGGTGCCCAGAGGAGCCCAGAGCGGCCTCCGGCACCGTTTCCGGACAGATCCGGTGGATCCTGGATCCGGTGACGAATCCCAAACCGGCGCCCTCGCTTGAGACATCCTCACAAAACCGGCCCCGGGGGAGGTGCCCAGAGGAGCCCAGAGCGGCCTCCGGCACCGTTTCCGGACGGATCCGCTGGATCCGCCGACGAATCCCAAACCGGCGCCCTCGCTTGAGACATCCTCACAAAACCGGCCCCGGGGGAGGTGCCCAGAGGAGCCCAGAGCGGCCTCCGGCACCGTTTCCGGACAGATCCGCTGGATCCTGGATCCGTGACGAATCCCAAACCGGCGCCCTCGCTTGAGACATCCTCACAAAACCGGCCCCGGGGGAGGTGCCCAGAGGAGCCCAGAGCGGCCTCCGGCACCGTTTCCGGACAGATCCCTGGATCCGCTGGATCCGCTGGATCCGGTGGATCCGCCGACGAATCCCAAACCGGCGCCCTCGCTTGAGACATCCTCACAAAACCGGCCCCGGGGGAGGTGCCCAGAGGAGCCCAGAGCGGCCTCCGGCACCGTTTTCCGGATCCGCTGGATCCGCTGGATCCGGTGACGACCGGCGCCCTCGCTTGAGACATCACAAAATCCGGGGGAGGTGCCCAGAGGAGCCCAGACGGCACCGTTTCCCAAATCCGGTGACGCGGCGCCTCGCTTGAGACATCCTCACAAAACCGGCCCCGGGGGAGGTGCCCAGAGGAGCCCAGAGCGGCCTCCGGCACCGTTTCCGGACAGATCCGCTGGATCCTGGATCCGCCGGTGACGAATCCCAAACCGGCGCCCTCGCTTGAGACATCCTCACAAAACCGGCCCCGGGGGAGGTGCCCAGAGGAGCCCAGAGCGGCCTCCGGCACCGTTTCCGGACAGATCCGGCTGGATCCGCTGGATCCGGTGACGAATCCCAAACCGGCGCCCTCGCTTGAGACATCCTCACAAAACCGGCCCCGGGGGAGGTGCCCAGAGGAGCCCAGAGCGGCATCCGGCACCGTTTCCGGACAGATCCGGACAGATCCGGTGGATCCGCGCCCCGGGGGAGGTGCCCAGAGGAGGAATGAGGAGGAGGAGGAGGAGGAGGAGGAGGAGGAGGAGGAGGAGGAGGAGGAGAAGATGATGGAGCTGCGGGGTGGAGGAGGACAGACGGAGGCAAGAGAAGGATGGAGGAGGAGGAGGAGGAGGAGGAGGAGGAGGAGGAGGAGGAGGAGGAGGAACGTCATCCTCACCCTCGCCAACAAGCGCACGCACCTTCTTCTATATACAGAAACTCCCGATCAACCGCAGAGCGGCCGGCTGGTATTTGGGGATTGTTTCTCCCCTGCACGACAGGGACTGTGAGCAAGGTTGTAGGAGGGTTGCAACATGTCTGGACACATTCTTCGCCAAAGGCGTTGCTCACAATCTCATTTATCTCGTCGTCGTCGTCGTTGTGAGGCCAGTGCCGCAGAGAGATACAGATTTTCCACTATTGGTGGGACCCCAGCCCCTCAATGAGGTCGCCGAATATACAATTTGTTTCCAGATTGTAGGGTGGTCCAGTATTGTGGGGGGCTCTAAAGACCTATCTCGGGTAAGTAGAATGATGAGATACATAAGCGAATTCGAACAGGCGAAGCGGAGTTGACGAGTTGTGGCTCTCGGTAATCCCCCAACGAAGCCATATTTGAACCTCTAGTGGCCTCTTGGGACCATGGTGGCGTCGGGTTGAGGCTTGTCTGGGTCATCCAGGAGTAGTATTGGGCCGTCCGAGGCTATGTAAGTAGGCACCTTCGACCATCTTCGCGAATTTCGGCGGCCCTTTAGGCGCGATGGCTCATTTGGGCAATCATGAGGGCCCTGGAAGTGCTGTTGCGAGCTTCCCCCCCCTCCTGTAGTGGGATATTTAGCCCTTGGGGGAGGTGGACAGGGGGGGGGGAAGGAGGGAGGAGAGAGTCAGGTAGTTACGGGTTATTGTCGGTCACTATGGGGAAGCAGGCTACAGTTTGCTGCTTCCTGGCTCTTCTGGCCGGCTCTCGCTTGCTGTAGACCTTCGGCCATAGCCTCTGGAGAATACGTTTACGATAACCGATTCGATTAGCGTCGAGGTGTGTGCTGCATTCCTTGCCGAGATGTGCAAGCTATTCAGCTGCAAAGCTCCCGCAAACCTTGCAAAACCACAAACCCAGCCCCGTTTAAAGAGGCGGAGGAGGAGGAGGAGGAGGAGGAGGGGGAGGAGGAGGAGGAGGAGGAGGAGGAGGAGGGGAGAGGAGGAGGGGAGGAGGAGGAGGAGAGGAGGGGGAGGAGGAGGAGGGGGGAGGAGGAGGAGGGGGAGGAGGAGGAGGGGGAGGAGGAGGAGGAGGAGGAGGACGGAGGGAGGAGGAGGAGGAGGAGGAGGAGGAGGGAGGAGGACGAGGAGGGGGAGGAGGAGGAGGGGGAGGAGGAGGGGGGAGGAGGAGGAGGGGGAGGGGGGGAGCCAACAGGGGGCGGTGGACAAGGGGGGCAGCCACGAGTCCCTCACGCCGCCTCGCCCCGGGCCGGCGGGGGCTCGGCGGCCTCTCGGCTCGCGGGGCGCCCCGTGGCCGCCCCGCCGCCCCCGCCGCCCCGAAGGGGCGGCCGTGGCCGCCCCGCGCCGCTGCCGCTGCGTGAGTCGCGTCGTGCTGTGCTGGGGCGTCCCAGGCCTCCTCCTCCTCCTCCTACTCCTCCTCTCCTCCTCCTCCTCCTCCTCCTCCTCCCTCCTCCTCTCCCTCCTCGTCCTCCTCTCCCCCATCCTCCTCCTCCTCCTCCTCCTCCTTCTCCTCCTCCTCCTCCTCCTCCTCGTCCTCCCTTTCCTGTGCCTGACCTTGGGGGCCCTGAACGGGGCTCCCTTAGGGGCCCAGAGGAGGGGTGGACGGGTGGATGAGGTCTCGGAGGTCGATGGACCTTCTGCCCGGACACGTCGATCAGCGAACTGGCCGTTTTCGGTCCGCGGGAGGGCGTCGCGGCCGCCGGTGTGGCGGGTCCAGGTCCGTCGGTTTCGGTCCTGGGCCGCTGTCATGAAAGGGAGGTTTACCACAGGGAGGTTTGTCCACCGCCGAAGGTCGAAGCTGGTGGGGTTGCCGACGCATCGGCCTCCCAGATGAGGTCGGAAGATCGCGGTGCACCGCCGATGCATCGCGGGTGCATCACCGATGCATCGCCGATGCATCGGCGATGTATCGGCGATGCAGCGCGATCCTCCGAGCCCTCTACTCCGACCCCGTCTAGGAGGCCGCTAATCTCCTGAATGCCACAAACGGCATAAGCACAAACTGTTGGCGATCCGCCCGGGCTTCTTGGATCTCGAATGAGCTGTTGTCTTTTTGTTTGTTGTTCGTTGTTGTTTGTTTCTTCTCTCTCTCTCTCTGTCTCTCCCTCTCCCCCTCCACCAACAAACAGGTTCCGCACCCCCGCTCTCTTCTCCCCCCCCTCTTGATCGCCACAACCCGCCAGCTTTTCCAGTCGGGTTCCATTTCGGCCGCGCCAGGGGAAGGCTTATCCACTCCCGTCACGACAGCGGCGCCTCCCGCCGGTGTGGGGCTGGCACAGCGGGCGCTTGAATTGAATCGGGCCCTTCCCCCTACAGGAGGCACATTCGAAAATAGTACAGAAATGTTCAGGGGACGATGTTTTTTTGATATTTGTTTGATTATTTGGGAGTTGTTGTTTGAAGCTTTTCATTTGTCGCCCAACATCCCCCTGTAGGGGGGACAGGCCCGCTTGTATCCTGCGCGCCAGGACGAACCCTTGGTCCGAGCTGCTGCGCTCTCTGCTCCTCCCCTTCGTCGCAGGCCTCGCGGCTGACACCGACGCCAGCATCGGCGGTGTGCCCCCCACCGAGGGAGGGAGAGAGCCGATCTCGGTGAGGGTGGTAATCTTTGGGCTGCCGAGGTTCGGGCCGGGCGAAAGGGGGGGGATTGGGAGAGGGGGGGGTACGAAATTTGCTGCATGCAGCTGGTTTCGGCCTCACCGAGGGGCCCATTCCTCGATACATGGCCGCCTCCGGCGCCGGGAGGCGCCGGGAAAATCAGCTGCGTGAGCTGATTCTCACCCCCCCCCTTTGCTATCCCCCCCTTTCGCCCGACCCGAGAGGTGGCGGACATGTGACCGTCAGCACCGACAGCTAGGATGAAGTCGGGCCTGTCCCTATACAGGGGGAATATTCAAACACAGTCAAAAAATAGTCTGGGGACTATGTTTTGAGTATTGTTTGACCATGTTGGGGTATTTTTTTGGTAATTTGCAGTTTGTCGTCGAGAATCCCTCCGTGGGGGGACACGCCAGACCTAACTCTAGGATCCTCTGCCCCCCCTGTGGAGGCAAGCCCCTGTGTTGGCGCTGGTGCTCATGCCGAGGCCTCCAGCTCCGCGCCCGCAGGCCATCATGCGGATAGAGTACCTGCACTCCCGGCGCGCCCCCGGGCGGCTTCGGCCGCGGGGCTCCTCGCCGGCCCTCCGCAGATTCCGGCTGTCGCCGCGCCTCCCCTGCAGCACCCCGCCTGCCCTTCACCCGCCTCGCCCTTCGAGGAAGAAGAAGAAGAAGACAAACACGAAGAAGAATAATAAGAAGAAGAAGCAGCAGACAAACACGAAGAAGAAGACAAACACGATGAAGAAGAAGAAGACACACGAAAAGAAGAAGAAGAAGAAGTAGAGGACGAAACGGCACAACGACTGATTGGGAGCTGGAGCCCGCTGGGGGTCCGAGGTGGCCCAGCACTGGTTGTTCTGGCCAGAGGGGGAGGTTGGGGGGGGCAGGCCCGAGGGTCTGGGTGTGGGAAGGTCTCTTGCCTCTTTTGGCCCTCAGGGGGGCCGCCCCTCGGGCCGGGACCGTGAGACACGGTTCCGGAGGGAGCATTTGCAACTGGCCCCGTAGACTTGAGTCGGGCCTATCCCTCTACAGGGGGAATACTCAAAAATAGTAACAAAATAGTCTGGGGCAGACTTGTTGACTATTTTTGAGTCGTTTTTTGCATATACTTTTTGATAATAAAATAAGAAACTATTTGCACTTTTTCGTCCAAAACCCCTCTGTAGGGGGACACGCCCGACCTAATCGTAGACCCGGACACGCTAGACCCGGACGCCCAAGATCCCTCGGAACCAATCTTCCCAGACGGCATCGAACGAACAAAGTTTGAACTGCAGCATGTCCAAAATAAGCCCAGTGAAGCCCGGACACACACCCGAATCCTGCGGTGCAGCAAACAAAAAGTGCAGGGGTGCTGCGAAATGCGACTTTGCAGGGAAGGATGTCGTTTCCTGGGTTTTCCGTGTCCTGGTTTATCTGTGTCCTGGTCTCCGGTGGCCTGGGAGGAGTCTGGGGACCGGTTCGAAGCAAATTGGCCTCGCACCCCTCTCTCCCGGCAAGCTCCGACCCCCTGGCCGCATCCAAACGTGGCCCACTTCTGTCTCTGCCTCGCGGGTCCGGGCCTGAGCCTTTTGCCCCCCCCCGGCATTTGACCGCGCCTCCTTTGCGGTGGTCAGTCAAAAACCCTAACAAGGACGCGCGACTTTGCTCAGGGTACCCTTGCGTCCTTGCTCTTCCTTGCTCTTGCGTCCTTGGGGTTTTCGTCGTCCGCCGCCCCAAAAATCCCAACTTCGGCTTCCAAGGGTCTTGCGTCCTCACCGCGCGTCATTATTAGGGTTTTTGACTGTACGTTCTATCATATGTGGGTATGCTATCTGTTCGGGTCGGGTGCGCGCCCCTCCCAGATGGACGTACATGTATAAGCAAGTCTCTGTGCGTCTCATGTTGTCTCGAGGAAGTGAGGAGCCCTGTCGCGGGCCACAGCAGAGAGAAGAAACGGCAAGAGCATACTCTTTCCGAGGTTCGCGCAGATTTCATGTGGATCTGTGCCGGGCGTTGGCGGCGCCCCCCGGCGGCGCCCCACGCGCGTTTCCGCGCGGATCTCTTGGCCCAATGTTATGATGCTCCAACCTACTTTAGCTCTGATCACCAGGAAGAATTTCGAGCGGTCAAACAATTACCGAAACTTAAGGGTTTTCACGTGTCAGGCCCTGGGAGACACTCGCCCGACACTGTGTCAACACTGTTTCGACACTGTTTCAACACTGGGAGACACTCTTTCTGGGTGCTCGAAATTATTCCTGGGATGTGGTCCTTAAGTAGGATGGGAACAACATAAGCCCAGTGCGGATCCAAGAACACCGCGCGGACATCCGACCGTGTATGTTTGTGCGGTTGTTTGTGACTCTGCGGTCAGAGCGCATCGTAAGGATGCGCAATCTTGCAAGGTTGCCCTTGCACCCTTGCCCCTTCGGCCCATTCTTGGCGACTTCCGCTTGCCAGCCCCGTTCGAAGAACGTCAACCAACATGGCCCCTCAGTGCCTTTGCATCCTTCGCTGCGCGCTGACGGCAGTCCTCCCCCTTCCCTCCCCCCCCCCCCCTGGTGCGCGGGCACGCCCGGAGGTACGGAAGTGCCCCCGTGGGCGCCGGCGGCCCTTTCGCCACCCCGGCCCGGAGAGGGGAGCGAGGACGAGCAGGAAGAAAAAGGATGGGGAAGGTGAGGGAAGCGTTAAATCGGGCGTGTCCCTCTACGGGAGGAATGTTCAAAACTGCTCAAAAAGTAGTCTGGGGACGATTCTTTAGTTCTTGTTGATAGTATGTTTGACTACTTTGAATTTTGTTGACCGCCTGTAGGGGGACATGCCCGACCTAAGGGAAGTGGAGGGGGGTGAGAGGGGGAATGGGCGGGAGAGTGAGAGAGAGAGGGAGAGAGAGGGATAGATGGGAGGTTGTCGAGCAGCAGCATGGGGAGCGAGAAGGATCCGTCCTCTAACAACACTCGTCAGTCTCCCCTCCCTCTCTCACCAATCAGGCGCTCCCTTTGGAAGCCCCGCGCGCCAGGGGCATCGTGCACAGAGACATTAAGCCAGAGAATTTTATGTGGGGCATAAATGACAAGGCGCGCGGCCTGCTCCGACCCCTAGGAGGAGGCTGCGGGTAGCGGGAGGACGAGTGCGGGACGAGGACGATGACATGGCCACCTATCCCAGATCTATCTGCCTATGCTCTTTATTGTTATGGTTTCTCCTCCATCTCGCTCTCTCGCGCTCTCTCCTCTTCACAAACATATCTCGATATACCGATTCCTCAAGCAGTGCTGGCACTCCAGGATTCTGATGTGTAGGATACGGAATTGGGTTGGTCTGTCGGTCTGGCGGCTATGTGCTATGTCCCGTCGCCGCCTCGTTGCCGCCCGTCGTCTGGGCCTGTGTGTTGGTCTGGCAGCTGGAGCCGCCGCCGCCGCGTCCCCGCGTCGTCACCGACCGTCGTCTGGGCCTTCTTGCGCATTGGTGTGCATTTCTTGCATCAGTGGCTTTGCATTTCCTATGAGGCGAGGCGTACATATTCCCCAAACAGTGCTTGCACTTAGGGTTTTTTCTTTGTTACCGAGAAGCTGGGCCTGGGTTCTTTCTTGTTACCGAGAAGCTGGGCCTGTCTGTCGGTCTGGCGGCCATGTTGCCGCCGTCGCTGCCCCGTCGCCGCCTCGTCGCCGCCCGTCGTTTGGGCCTGTGTGTCGGTCTGGCGGCTATGTTGCTGCCGTCGCCGCCCCGTCGCCGCCTCGTCGCCGCCGGTCGTCTGGGATTGTCTGTCGGTCGCCGCGGTTGTTGCCGCCGTCGCCGCCCCATCGCCGCCTCGTCGCCGCCGGTCGTCTGGGATTGTCTGTCGGTCGCCGCGGTTGCTGCCGCCATCGCCGCCCTCAATAGATTGCGCAACATAGATCTTACGACATCTAGTGCGCAACATAAGCTCTCCTTCTAAAATAGAGATAGATTCTACCCCCCCCCCGGACTTGACGATCCTCTCTTTCGTATTGCAATTTATATATGATTCTGCCCCATCGTCCATCCTACATGTGAATGTACGGTGTCCCAGGGGGGCTGGTATGACCTGCGAACCATACTATGCGCGCACACTCGTTGATAACAAATCTGTAAGTTTTCAAAAGCCCTTGCAACACATAATTAGGACGAAGTGCATGCGCGCGCGCGTCGTCGCGCGCGCACGCCGAAATCCTTCAAACACCTTCGGTTTCGGAAGGATTTCAAAATCGAGTTTACCAAACACATACAAAAACAAAGGGTTTCGCAACACGGATGTCCTGAAAATGCTTTCGCGCGCGCTCTCGCGACATCTTAAGAAAACCATTGATTCTTTCCAGTTTTTCAGAGAATGCTACCAAATGGGCTTCGCGCGCGCGCATGTCGAAACCGTGTCGCGAGAACCCTCTGCAAAAAATGTGACGAAGCGCACGCGCGCGCGTCGTCGCGTGCGCGTGCCGAAATTCTTTAAAAACCTTCGGTTTCGGTCGGGTTTCGAAATCGAGTGCCCCAAACACCTACAAACACAAGGTTTCGCAACACGAATTGTCAAGAATTCGTGCGCGCGCGCGCCCTTGCGTCGTCGTCGTCGTCGTGGCCGTCCTCCCTCCTCCCTCGTCGTGGTCGTCGTCGCCGTCGTCGCCCTCTGTCTTTCCTCGTCGTCGTCGTCCTCTTTGGCGTCGTCGTCGTTTCGGTACCCGTTGTCGCCGTGTTCGTCCTTCCTCCTCCCTCGTCGTTGACCGCGTCCGTCGTCGGCGTCTCGTCGTCGTCCCTCCGATTTCGTCGCCGTCGTCGTCGTCGTCATCGTCGTCTTCCCTCCTCCCTCGTCGTTGTCGTCGTCGGCGTCGCCGTCCTCACTCCTTCGTCGTTCGCGTCGTCGCTGTCCTCCCTCCTCCCTCATCGTTGTCGTCGTTGTCGCCGTCGTCGTCCTCCCTCCTCCCTCGTCGTCGTCGTCGTCTTCGTTGGCGACGTCGTCGTCGTCGTCGCCTTCGTCATCGTCGTTGGCGTCGTCATCGTCGTCGTCGTGGTCGTCGTCGTCGTCGTCGGCGCGTTCGTCGCCGTCGTCGTCGTTGGCGTCGTCATCGTCGTCGTCGGCATCGTCGTCGGCGTCGTCGTCGTCGTCGTCGTCGAAGTCGTCGCAGTCGCTGTCGGTGTCGTCGTTCTCGTCGGCGTCGTCGACGTCGTCGTCGGTGTCGCTTTCGTCGTCGGCGCCGGTGTTGTTGCCAAGTGCCATTTGGTACCTACCGTCACGGCCTTAAGAGGTCTTGCAACCAAGTTGCGGGTGGGAGGGTGGGATGTTTGCACGAGCAGTGGAGAGGACAGCTTCAAGACAGTCAACGTGAATTTCACCGCATAGGTCGCACCACGTGTATTGCGCATCACAGATAATGCACCACATAGGGCGCATCACCTATATTGCACGACGTATATTGCACATCATGTTACACAACATGTATCGCACCACATACGTTGCACCACTTAGATGGCTCCGCACATATTGCACAACACCTGTTGCACCTCATGGGCCGCATCATCTTTGTATATATATAGACATACATAACAACGCAGTTTTCTCAGCCTAGATGTCACCGCATATATTGCTACGTCTAGACGCGCTGTGACATCACATATATGCTCCTTTCTAAAAAGGAGATAGGTTCTACCACCCTCGCCCAGCCGGACTTATTGATTCCCCTTATCGTGTTGCCTTTTTTATATGAATCTGCCCCATCGTCCATCCTGAATTGATATTTACACAATCCCAGGGGGGCCGGTATCGCTCCCCCCGCCATCTTCTGCAACAAATTATATGCGCGCACGCTCGTTTATCAAAAACCACAAGTTTTTAAGCACCCCCTGAAAAAATGCGACGAAGTGCGCACGCGCGCGTTGTCGCGCGCATGCCAAAATCCTTCACCATCTTCGAGTGTCCAAAACAGATATTACACACAGGGTTTTACAACACGGGATTTCAAAACAACGCGCGCGCGTTCTTGCGAATTCTTGAGAATATAGGCTTTTCAACATTTTCATTAAATGCTACTAAACAAGCTTCGCGCGCGCATTCGTCGTCGTTTTCGTCGTCGTTGTCGCCGTGGTCGTCCTTCCTCCTCCCTCGTTGTCGTCGTCGTCCATCGTCGGCGCCTGGTCGTCGTCCCTCCTATTTCGTCGCCGTCGTCGTCTTCGAAGTCGTTGTCGTCGACGTCGTCGTCATCGTCGTCGTCGCCTGCATCGTCGTCGCCGTCGTCGGCGTCATCGTCGTCGTCGGCGTCGGCGTCGGCGTCGTCATCGTCGTCGCCGTCGTCGGCGTCGTGGTCGTCGTCGATGTCGTCGTCGTCGTCGTCGATGTCGTCGTCGTTGTCGTCGTCGTCGAAGTCGTCGCAGTCGCTGTCGGTGTCGTCGTTGTCGTCGGCGTCGTCGCCGTCGTCGGTGTCGCTGTCGTCGTCGGCGCCGGTATGTTGCCAAGTGCCATTTGGTACTTACCGTCACGGCCTTAAGAGGTCTTGCAACCAAGTTGCGGGTGGGAGGGTGGGATGTTTGCACGAGCAGTGGAGAGGACAGCTTCAAGACAGTCGACGTGAATTTCACTGCATATGTCGCACCACGTGTATTGCGCATCACAGATAATGCACCACATAGGGCGCATCACTTGTATTGCACGACGTATATTGCACATCATACGTTGCACAACATGTATTGCACCACATACGTTGCACTACTTAGATGGCGCCACACATAGTGCACAACACGTTGTTGCACCTCATGGGCCGCATCCTCTTTATTTATATCTATATATATATATATTCATACATAACAACACAGTTTGCCCAGCCTAGATGGCACCGCATATAGTGTTACGTCTAGGCGCGCAGCATCTGTGACATCATATATATGCTCCTTTCTAAAAAGGAGATAGGTTCTACCACCCTCGCCCAGCCAGACATGTTGATTCCACTTATCGTGTTGCCTTTTTTATATGATTCTGCCCCATCGTCCATCCTGAATTGAAATTTACACAATCCCAGGGGGCCCGGTATCGCCCCCCCCGCCATCTTAAGCAAAAAAATATATGCGCGCACGCTCGTTTATCAAAAACCATAAGTTTTTAAGCATCCCTTGAAACAATGAGACTAAGTGCGCACGCGCGCGATGTCGTGCGCGCATGCCGAAATCCTTTAACATCTTCGGTGTCGGAAGGACTTCAAAATCGAGTGTCCAAAGTAAAGTTTAAACACAGGGTTCCGCAACACGGGTTTTCAAAACAACGTGCGCGCGTTCTTGCGAATTCAGAAGAACATATGTTTTTCAACATTTTCATAAAATGCTACCAAACAGGCTTCGCGCGCGCATGCCGACATCGTTCGAACGCCGTTGTGCGCGTGCTGTCACGAGAATCCCTTGCGAACAAGTAAAAGAAGTGCACACGCGCGCGTCGTCGCGCGCGCATGCCGAAATCTTTCAAAAACCTCCGGTTTCGGAAGGACTTCGAAATCGACTTTCCAAAACACATGTCAAACACACATGGTTTCGCAACACGGAGTGTCAGAAAAACGTGCGCTGTTCTCGCGAATTCTTCATAAAACCATGAGTTTTTCAACATTGTCATAAAATGCTACTAAAAGGGCTTCGCGCGCGCATGTCGGAATCGTTCGAACGCCCTTGCGCGCGTGCTGGGGTGGCACGATCCGTGTCAAATATTTCCATGCGAGCCACTCTCGCGCGTCTGCAGCTCGCGCGCATTTCGAATTCCTTCGGAAACCTTCACCACCGACGCGGAGACGCCGTCATCGTCGTCGGCGTGATCAGCCTGTCTTTCCTCGTCGTCGCCGTCGTCGTCCTCTTTGGCGTCGTCGTCGTGTTCGTCGTCGTTGTCGCCGTGGTCGTCCTTCCTCCTCCCTCGTTGTTGTCGTCGTCATCGTCGGCGCCTCGTCGTCGTCCCTCCTATTTCGTCGCCGTTGTCGTCGTCTTCGAAGTCGTCGTCTTCGTCGTCGTCGACATCGTCGTCATCGTCGTCGTCGCTGGCGTCGTCGTCGTCGCCGTCGTCGGCGTCATCGTCGTCGTCGGCGTCGGCGTCGGCGTC